AAGTGACACAATCCACTTTCGGAAAGAAAATCATCAAGGAGACTTCTGAACCGGGTTGCAGTTTCACTGCAATGGAGATCCACTGGCAGTCTGTTTCACATGGTTGAGTAGCGAATAACGAAAACATTCTGGCGTAAGTTTATGTGGGTTCTTGGAATCACTAGAATATTTTCCTTACTGCGTAGATTGTGGGACGATATCATAGAGTATGAAGGAGTGGATACCGAAGAGCAGGAAATACCGTTAATCGGCCGGTAGATAAAAACAAGGTTTAATTTGATACGTCTGATCCAGAGAGGTTCTAATTTAAGTTTTTGACATCTTTGGTGATGGTCTTTGTTGTCGGAATACCCCAGAACAGCTTTGGTGAACCTTCTTTTAACATCTTTAATTTTATTCAGGTCATTGTGCTTGAAATTACTGTAAACTAAAATACCATATTTAAGAATGGGTAAGATACATTTTCTTTATAATAATAATCCCGATTCGATATTATTTAAGTTTATCATTATGAATCCGATGAGCTTCCTAGCTTTGGATACTTGAGATGTAATGTGCTCAGAAAAGTTCAAACTGTTGCTATATCTTAAACCCAAGTCACGAACAGTGTTAAGAGTGTAGCATGGCGTCGAGTCGCGGTTGACTATGAAAACCATTAAAGAGAAACACGTGCCAAATAAATTCAGAAGGCATTTAATGAACCAAGTCGAGATATATTTGATGGCGATCTCGTGGTATCGAAAGGATACCGAGATCGTGCCAGGATACAAGCTTGGTTATAGAGCGTAACCGAATCCGCGCGAGTTCACAATCAAAGTGTAAGAATAATGGATGTTTTTAGCACAGTTAAACAAAAGCACATTAAAACAGTCACTGGTACAATTGGTTATTATAATAATTGTTTTCAATAAACCAATCGTGTCCTCATGATAAAAGTGAGTCACTACAAGAGTTTTCAGTGTACGTTTTTGTATAGCCAGATTTATGTTAAGGCAGCGGCCAATGTAAATAAATCGACTTTTGTCAACAGTAAGTGGCGAATTCCACGAAACAGTCCATTCGTATAACTTGTTTATTTCTTCTTGGATTACTGCTGAAATATAGCTTTCTTTGGTGGAAGAAGAGAATGAATAAACTAATTTTAGGTCATTGGCAAAAAGGAAAGGTTTATCATACTGAAAGAGGGAACACAAGTCATTTATAAAAAAGAGAAAGAGTGATGGATCAATCACACTTCCTTGTATAACCTCACCGGTTACATTCACAGGTTTAGAGTAGCTACAATGATAATTCATAAAATAGTGAGTACAATGTTTTATCATACACGATTATATATATTTCTTAATATCAGGTAGAGGTCTGAATAGATCCTGTAAATTCATAAAGTACGTGGGTTATAGCATCATAACACGATATAATTATATATTCCTCAAGGAACAGAATACAGATATGATATGCAATTCTTCGTCGAGTATAATTATATACGTTTTAAAAATGACAGAACACTGTTCGATCGTATAGTCAAAATGAATATATGTAATTATATGATGATGAATTCTTGTATGAAAATGATCATAAATACCATGAATAATTTAAACTCAGGTCTTATCATATAGCATGAAATTCACAGTTTATATGTTGATAGTTCAGAATTGAGTTATCTTCCATAATTCCGAGAAAAAATAATCCATACAGCTCTGAGAGAATCTTAGAAAAAGAAAACTGAAGGTCTCAGCCTCACACTATACCATTCAACCAGGTAGTGACTGCATCCGTAGCAAAATGAAAGCCATTATCAGTCACTAACCTTGGGAACCTCTTCTCGACTAAAAACCCTTATTAATGCTTGGGTTGTGAGGTCAAAATTTGGCGAATTTGTGAAAAAAACTTCAGGTCACTTCGAAAAAGAATCACTGACTGCAAGTGTATAGTATTTGTCAAGAAATGAACCACAATAGTCTGTATGAGTTCTCTGTCAGACCTCAGACGATACTGGCCATGTAGTCCACTTCGAAGTTGGAGAACAACTTATACCAAATGGAAGGAAGATGTATTTGAACGTACCAAAAGGTGTTAATTGTCGTCGAAATAGATGAAGATTGATCTAAAGGGATTTGGAGATAAGCAACTTTTAAGTCAATTTTCGTGAACACTTTAGAACCATGAAGTCGATTTCAAATACATTCAGCCTCCATCGTCGTGCATGTTTACTTCAACAAACGGGAGTTCAGTGTTAATATATGGTCACCACATATTCCAAGGGTCTTGCTATTCGAATTCACTGGTGTAGCAATAAGGGTACCTCATGCTGAAGATAGAATCGGTTCAATTATACCTTTCACACATAAATCGTTCAATGTCTTATGCACTGTTTTCTCAAAGACCATATGGAAATATACGTCTTTGAAAAATGACTCGATCACCCTGCACTCAAAGTTTTATAGGCCGAACTTTCATACCTACATTACACTGATAACACGTAGCTACTTTATTGTAGTGAGCAAGAATACGGGTGGGGACAAACGAATGTATTTTGCTCAACAATTACAGTCTATCTCAACAAAATCTGAATACCATATAGTAAATCGTCAATTTGCAAAATATTCATGCATCAAACCAAACTGGACTGTTTCTGTTGCAAACACCAATCCATTGTCTCCCATTCCATTGTTCATGCATTTTCTTACAAATTCCATTGTGTTCTCGCTCTACCTTTCTTGATCTTCGCCATCTTCCGCTGCCAGACATTACGTTATATACTACTATTTATATCAATATAAGTAGCTCACACCACAATATCTTTAAGTAAAGCATCAGAATCTTCTTTTAAACTAGTAAAGATAACTCCACTTTAAGTCTTTTCAAATTTTTCAAACCCAGTACTGACAGTTCTGTTTCTCTAACTAAAAACTCACAGGCTACGTATGAAAAAATATCATCTCTTATTATCAATTCACAGCATCCTCTTATGGGCAGTTTGTGTCCAGTAATCCCCAATATTGGGACTATAGTTAGTCGTATCACAACGTTAAGATCCAAAGATTTTAAGTTGTTGAATGAAATAATGAACTCTGTGCTGCCTGTTTTCACAAAAACGTCATGAAATGAATTAAGCGATGTGTATTATCGCTTTTGAATATGAACATTACCTTTAAAAATGGTGGATAAAGATAAATGATCATTAGAAGCAGCCGACTTAATGGGATCTAAATTACAAGGTTTAGTACGACTTGAAGTAAAATGAACAGTAGTTTTGCATACTGACTGAATGTGTCCTATCTTACCACATTTAATACATTTAAGATTACGAGATGCACATGAATTACGTAAATTAAATTTGCCACAGGATAAACATTTACCAAACTCGCTCCCACCTTTGTGGTTCGCTTTGCAATTCCTTGTTGATCTAGTTTCATATTTCTACGAGAATAGGAATTACTATTAAACAAACGCAAGTTTGATTGATCCTGAGATCGTAAATCATTATGACGACTGAGCAAAGCATTAGAAATTTTCATCGACTGGGTACCAAGTTCATTCACTGATTCGTAGTTAATACATGTAGTTCTAGCATCCTCAAAAGAACAGTTCGGCATTCTTAACAGCTCTTTTTTCAGACCTGGTATATTAATTTATGCAATTAATCGATCCTTTAGCTGCACATGAAGTTGGTCACCAAAATTGCAGTTGGCAGCTTGTTTCTATAATTCAAGGATGAGTTTCCTTTACGTTTAGTCATTCTGACGAATCATCTTATGAAATTTTTCTCTTTTACGACATTTAAAACTGGTGAACTTTACATGATTTTATAATAATCTCCCAAGAATTGCATAAAATAGTGAAATAGGATTTTTCGGAAATGCCAGTTTTTAATAAGCCGTATGCTTCTTTTTCGATGAATGTAAGGAAATGAGCCACAATATTGACATCCTCAACATCTTACTTGGTCATAGTCTACATTTCGAGCCTTTCCATGTAATACTCAAAAGCATCAAAATCTGAATGTTTGTTCAATTGTTCTATCGCAGGCACCAACGCGACGCCAATGTGATAGTTCGAAATATTTGAATTACAGTACAAGCTAGGAATTACAGACATAATGCAATTTAACTAAAAAGTATTATATGAGCACGAACAAACGTATTATATTTAGAATTCGATATCAGGCTGCCATCAAGTACAGAGGAATCATTAGTTCATACAAACACCACACAAACACATATCACGTAGAAAATCAATGGAAACTGTACAGCGAAAATAAGTAAACACAGTGCTACAGACTGAAATTCTCCAGTCACATGAATGATGAACTAAACTCACTGAATACTGAAATTCCTAATTTCAGTCATATTTTTAGGTTCAAAGGCATAGCCTACTAAGATTTTCTAAACTGAGCTGAAATAGTTGTTTAATCCTCATTAAAGGATTTGTTGCTTTTCTAGGTAAATAGGCTACCGACAAAACGATTTTATTAGTGCAAAAATGGTTTTCAGAAATCAAGCAAATTATATAGCTCCAGATGAATTTATCGTTAGATTTATAGATTCTCATAAACCGAAAACTAAAGATGAACATAATATTTGAAATACAGTCAACTATAGTGGCATCATTAAGTTGAATTACAATCATTACACAACTAAATTACATATGTTTGAGTTTACCAAGTTCAACAATAGACAGTTTACCTCCTAAATCATTCATAATCTATTTTGAAATTCATACACAGCTGAAATTTAATAAGAAAAGAATAATCATAGAGTTTGATACTAATAAACTGTACTTAGAAGTGACAAAAGTATGACTTTTTAATTTGTTAAGGAAGGTCTAGAACAACCCCAGGTGTTTTAACTAAACAGAAGGTAGATGGGTGAGTGTATGAGTGATACTGTGTCCTTCTCAGGACAAAGAATAGTAAATTTTACCTTTAAAGACAAACAATTCACATGAAAAACTACATAATTCGATTGACAAGTTCCTAATTGTGATTAATTTTGCCTTACAGTTAAAAAGGAAATTAAATGATGAATTACTGTACAGGAAAAGTTATTTAACTGAAGTACTGAAAGAAAAATTCTCAGCTAAACACATAGAAGTTATAATTACTCCGTATTATCGATCTATTCATTATTGTATGGGTCCATCAGGAAAGCTGCTTTCGGCACATGGTGAATGTGGTATGTTTTTAGAATAGTTAACTGGTTTTCTTCCAAAAGAATCTGTTTTTTATATTTGCTATATAGTACATTTTTAACACCGACCACATAATCATCCTAAGTGTTCAATAAATTTTGTTTGTCATTCATAGTTTGTGTAGTAAACGAAAATGACACGATACTACGGTGCACTGTAGTTGGCGACAACTCTCATCAGATAAACACGTTTATGTATAATGCTTTGAAATCAAGTAAACAAGTACATACAATTATTGCTTACCAATTAGATGTACTACTTACTAATCCATTCATTTACGATTGAAAGGTGAAATTCAGTACTTTGAGACTTGTGCTTCAAACACCGAATTCTAGATCTGTTTCATAATGAGGTCATTACCTTTTCAGTAACCCAAACTGATTAACTTGTTCAAAGAAAAAGGAAATTAATTAATGACATATTTGTTAACTCCACGTATCAGTTTTGGGCCATAATCCTAAATCGTGTAACAAAGACAAGGTTAAGTGTTACATTTTTCACGAGGTACGTTGTAAAATAGGTGCCTATGTATCAGGATAAAAAGACTTTCGGAAAGATCTAAACCAATCAGATGAAACACAAATTACAAAGTTTTCTATTACTTTAAAAAATCGACGCCATCTAGTTTGTTTTGCAAACAGAATCATACGTCTAAACTTCTAGTCTTCGTGTAATAGTTTGACGTTTTCTTTAGTCCTTGAACAGAAATGGTTTGCATGTGCACCGGGACATTCAGAAATTTTCAACCTTTAACAATCTTTTACTAAACCGTAACAATAAGGTTTATGTGGCTTTTCGTATCACTTTAAAAAGCGATATTAATGTACTTAACAGGCAAAACAATTTAGGTTGTCCCTGACCAGTAAACTATCAGTCTAACGATCAACCTGTGATTGACAGTATATGTCACTTAGAAACCTGGCTAGTAATCGAATTCCACAGGTTAATTATATATTAAGTTAGAAAATCCAATACTGAAGTCGGCATTACATTCCTGGAATCAATAAGTAGCTAGCTCTACTTGTCAACATCTATTGAAAAGATATACCTCTAGACCTGAAGAACGTCACAGAACATTAAGATAAGTTATCAGAGCTCCTATCAACGCTATTTATAAATTTCTGAGTGTGATCACTAGAGGGTAGGTTTTACATCCAAGATATTGGCAATAATTTCCTTAATGTTCTTCATGATAACTCAGTACATCAGTAAAACAATCTTCAATTTGTTCGGGACATTTACAGAAACATCGTATTGGATCGAAAAATGAAATGCCAACGTAATGCCTATCTTATGTCAGACATCAGTTTGTACGACTCAAGATATGTAATGGCCTGTATTATACTTTTACTTAATCATACTAGATATTGTTTCTTATACCTCAACTCTAATTCCATAGCTAACTAAATGCAAACTACTGATGACATACTTTTTATCTGGAAATACTGTAATTCGAAGTTAAACTAACTAAAATATTTCAAGTTTCAGGGTTTAGTCTGAATTAACTTGATTAACAAAATGAAAGTCAGCAAAAGGTACAAAACTGTGAACGGTCAATTAAAAGAACTCAGCAGAAATCTTTCAAACTTTTTTTCCTCATTTTTTTATGAACTAATATCCATATCTACTTACTGTGTATCAAATGCATAATGCTTGTTATATATTCTGAAATAATATATTCAGCAACAAGTAAAATTATGTCATCAACAAATCATTTAAATGAATCTTGACCTGATAGAAGAAAACTGAATCAATTACAAGCATCAGGTTGGCTTCTTATTACCAAATCATAGTTCAAAGATCTTAAACCTAGGAAAAATTTTCAAGTAAACATATTGCTGATCATAGATAATGAATTTCTTTAGCTTTCCAGAATCAAATTGTTTACTTTGAAGGTGGCTAAAAAATCAACCTATTCGTTCACTAATAATCCAACTTTTGGATAGAACTTATGAAAGGTTCTGTGACTCAAGGCAATCATTAGAAAACCCTGGATCTTTCCTGTTGTGCTAAATTTCATCCACCAGAAAAACATATCTACAAGGCCGCTCGGAATGTAAACCCATGTCATTCAGTGTCAGAGACGTTACCACTGTGGTAATTAGGGTCAAACAATACTTGTTGAATTTTTTTCAGACTTTTCAGACTATGTCGTTTTATTTCAGTATTAAACTGTAAATCATTACTGATCTGTAAATTCCATCAACTATGGGATTATGAGGTAATAGTACTCAATGTGTATAACTTTCTCATTTCATTTAAAAATTGAATTTAAATTTTCTTTGTACCAATGTTACATAATTGCCTTTTCTTACTTTCGCCATTCGACATAAACAAAAACAGATCTATGCTCACCAGGGTCGTATTACCCAAGTCGTATTATCGATCCACCACCGCCATCAACTGATGAAGAACTCTTGCCTCCTACTGCTAACCAAATAATATTCGCGGGTGGATACATCAGATCTCAATTTACTACTGGTGATTATGATCTAATCCAATGTCTTCCATGTCCACATAATACATATTCGGAGGAATATGGTCAATCAAGTTGTTTACCATGTCCATTTCAACACAGTATACCAATCGATCCTGAGGGTGATACACAACCGATAAATGGAAGTGACTGGTTACACATAGCATGCACTAAAGAAGACAGATCTGAACTACTTATGATACAAATAATTCAAAGAATATTAGGCAAGACAATAGGTGAATATATAAAAAAAACTCCACTCATCAAACGTGCTGGAATTCTATGTTTTATCATTGCTTTGCCTGGTATTATCACTTTTTTATTAATATTTATTGCCTATATTTTGATTGATGTTGGATCAACATTAATAGAAATGGCTAAAACTTTGCATCCATTACAAATACAATTAGCTGAGATTAGTACAGCAAATGCACGTTTGGATGTGGAATTGAGTGAAGCAGCTGAAAGAACTTATAGACATGAAAAGTGAATAATTATCAAAACTTTGCAAATTCATCAAGACAGTATTAGTTCTGATTTGTAATTATTATTATTATTATTATTATTATTATTATTATTATTATTATTATTATTATTATTATTATTATTGATCTTTCATCATCAATCGTAATTCTTGACCAAAGGATGTTATCCCAATACAATATTATCATTAGTGAAAATGAAATTCCAAACTTCAGTTTCATCCTATTTAACAATCATCAGTCACGTATAAGCACTTACGTTGTAATAAGTAGTGTGGCACTCTAATGGCTGAAACACTCAGCTTTCAACGTTCAGCTTTGAGGTTATAACTCTGATTCTCTAGATGTTTGATCGGCATCTAGATAATATGAGTATCCCTCACGTCTTAAAACCGAGTATACAAACTATCAATTGGTAAATAATTTATATTCAATGCTCGTGAGTAATATTATTCTCTCTCATAAACTGATTGACGAAGATTTGATCAAATTAATAAGTAATAGAAGAAAGAAATTCACGTTGCTATCTTCGAGTAATAAAATAAAATACTTATTATAAAATCGATTGTATTTGACTTGTTGTGTGATAAGAATGACTGAAAGAAAGTACTTGAAATGTAAAACATCTCATTTGACTGATAATTCTTTCAAATATTTTATGGATAGGGTCAGATTGAAAACTAGTGTACTAGAAGAGAGATTGGTTAACCTTTCACCATTAACCAGTTCATGATTTCCTAACATTCTGTTTAAAGGATTATAAAGCGCTTAGATATGGAATGCCACACGAATAGATTATTTATTATCAAACGAGGTTATTTTATGATATTTATCGGTGACTTAGTTCATGAGCAAAACCTGTGTTATGTTCATAGAGTTGGTTAGTTATATGTAATCTATAGATGAGCATGAAATCAGATACATTTCATGTATCCTAGTACTCAACAATAAAATTTACTAGCACTTTGTCAAAAGAAACTGAAAACCTATAAATCGATTGCATGAATCTTAGCTTCCTAGGCAACTATTTTACTACTGATATGTTTAGAACATAATAAAATATCCTGAAAGAACCATAATATTTTTAATGAAACTATAAAATAAATCAATGAATTTTCGTCAATATTTCTCAGAAAAAGGTTACAAAACCAAAGTTGCACTCATACAGTTGAACTATAATAAAACTCAATAATTTTTATGAGGTTCATATTTATCAAGTAGGCTTTATAAGAATTTGCAGAATACTATGTGTAAAGTACATTTATCTTTTAAAAGTACCATTGAACAAACATTTGCTTTAAATTTTCTTACTGAAATAGTCTTATTATACTCTATAATTGAATGATATTTGAAATCATATTTTAATTAATAAATGGCTAGTTCTATTACACTAGTTATATTGTGCCTAAAAATACCAAAAGACTATATATATACGAGAATACTGTGAAAATGTAGACTTTGAACATTGAAAACAATGATGTTGAATATTCCTCACCAACTACATTGAGTAATGCCTTTGGATAATCTACATGTTGCCAACTCATTGAAACCCAATTCAAATTCACTCAAATTAAAACTCAAATTCTCTAATCTTAATATAGTTGGATAGCTTATCAATATGCTGTTTAACCTGACACGTGAATGGATCATTAAATGAATGTTTTTTTACAAAACATTTTGCTTAAGCATACACTAATCCATTATTAGCTAACTGATCACAAAGAATAAATCTATTCTTGAGACGTAGATTAATACGATAATTCTCTCCTTACTATGGTACGATGGAAAATCAAACAAATTTCTAATCAAACCAAATGAAGAGGGATTTATTATCATGAATGTTACCTAACTAAAGTAAACATCTTAATTGTACATTCCTGAATTACTCATTATTCCAAAGTTTTATTAATAATCACCTTAAAATAAAGTGTGATGATGACGCCCCTATACCGCTTATTGACTGAAAATGAAACCACTGAACATGAAATATCATGTCAATAATGGTAAAACTGTTGTTACCACTTTGAGACTTGCAAATGTTAGTTTTCATCTCGTATAGAGAGCGTTACAAATAAGTTCTAAATTCAGTCTAAATAACTGTGTTAGTATTCTTTGGTTTCAAAGGCTCATTGAATAATATTAGTTCAAAATGAAATTAACTTGAATATTGAAGAGATCTTGCAGATAAAGACTCAAGATTCATCAAACTTATGAAGTACTTACAATTAGTACATTAGTCCACACCTCATTTTACCTCATTTTTACTAAAACAATCGAAAACAATAAAAATAATATCGGTTGCAGTAAGAAGATAAATCTAAAAAATGTAGTTCAAGAAGAAAGTACTAATGTAAAGAGTGAAATTTACTTATTTATGAGGATTTTTATTTTCTGCTATTAATGTTAAAGATAGAAATTGGTTAATCTCTGTTTGGCATATGTGCATCCTCATAGAATCGCCCTACTATTCCCATTTATTCATAAGCCTAATAAAACTAGATTCACTAGCTTTGTGAATAACAAGTTAGGCTTTGAGGCGGCATGTAGTGAGGTCGAATCTCGGCGTGTAGATCAAAGGTAGGATGCAGATACAACCAGCACAAGAGTTTCGAATAAGAGGAAATACGACTCCCAACTTCCATTTTTTAGCTACAGTCCAACCTCACTAAAACAAAGAATACAATTTATGAGATGATATCAACATTTAGAAAGATGAAGAATCACACTATATATACACAGCTACCACTAATTTTGAGTCATATTAAAAAGGTCTGAAAACACTGATTACGACTATCCTGTTGACCTCAAACCTACACTTTCTAGCAAGACTCAGTTAAAAAGAAACTGACCTCATAGATTGGGGCCATTTTTGTCTTGCAGCTCCGAACATAGATCATCAAGGTAAATAGTACTTTAGATATTTATTTACTTTGAGAATGTTCTAAATAATGAAGCTATCCCTACTGTATTATCGACAGATTCTCATGACCTTTAACACGATATCTCTTATGCTTAAATTATTTTTACACCACCATTCAATAATTTTCGTTCCTAGTAACACCCGAGGATTCTTGCAGAAGTGACTCTGTTTCCATTTTAATCAAAATGTTGTCTTTTAATCACACCTTTCAAAAAAAGTTTCGTAATTCAACTTTACTAGTAAAAGATGAAGCCTGAACATTAAACTTGGCCTACATTTTCAAGTACGCGTCAATTCTATTGAAGATTGTAAACATATATTAATAATAAGTAGCAACAAGTAACCTTTTAGAACTAGACAGTGCAATATTCGTAATTACTCAGTCACTGATTGGATTAACACTAATAATCATGTGTTCTTCGTTGAACTAATCGGCTTCCTTAATGTTCACTTTGTGGTACTCTAAAACTACTTAATTATACATTTATATGATAATTTATGCATAACATTCAATCTGAGTTACTTACATGCGTAAACATATTTATAATAGTGATAATTTTGGATATATTTTACTCATTTACTAAGCAAAACCATACCATCTTATTCATCGATATATTTATACACAAACTCTATTTCTCACCTTCAAAGCACTATTGATGGACAAATTTTATCAATATGGTTGTATTTCAGTCAAGTGATTTCTCCCATCTTCATTACGAGCCATTGGAATAATGTTTTTATGCTTTACATAGGCAGACTGCGGAAATTTATCTCAATTGAACATAATCAAATTAGGCATTATAAAGCTTGTTCTAATCCCTCACCCACCTAGTTAATGTGATCGTTTCTGGACTAACCTTTAACTACAACCAAAATGACTGAACGATGTACTGTGATAGGAAGAACAACAGAACAATCTATGTAGCAAGATTATCTAGACCATGTATCTATACGTAAGGAAATCTGAAGTAGAGAAAATTCTACCCCATCTCCTAACTTACAATTATACTCATATTTCATTAACGTTACGGAGAAATGAGGGACAATTAATTGAACTATATTGGCCGTAATTACAATACCGGTTGTATTCTCTGTTTCGCTAGTTCAATTATCGATTAGTTCACCTAGGACCCGTTATCTCCTAGTTACAAAACAACATTCTGATCAGTGAGGAGCAACCAAGACCTTTATGCCTAGTGGCCCTCGAGCTCCTTTTAACCCAGCGTTCAATCGGAAGACAAAGATAAAGTATAAACTAATTATCTATAGTACTCTAATTTAATCATGACTCATATACCTGAAGTGTCTGATCGCAGATCAACACAATTAGAAAATTACAGTATACACCTAATTTAATCATAAGTGATAAAAGCCGGAGTAATAGGAAAATATTAATCAGTAACAATTCTGAAACAACGAGAAATATGACAACAATATATGAGCCAAATGAAAGTTTGGAAGTGGAGAATATAAAAATACAATCCAAGCGCTAAGTGATTACGCACTTAAAATACAAAAGTAGTCCTACATCTGCTTACCTCAAAAATAATACTTCCACACTTTTCACCCCACTATATCACTTATTTAACCACTTTCTATCACTAATTCAACTAATCAGATAAAATCCTTTTTGACTGGAATGTTGGAATTAAGAAAGCCTTCACTTATAATGTTCTAAAGTTAAAGATCATGTTCTTGTTATACATGTAGCAATAATCTTTTATGAAACAATTATTTTTGATGGTTCTACATTATCTCAATAAACAACTGTATGATGTCCAGTTTTCATTTGTTCCATTCTACATACTACTTACTAAGATGTCGGATTATCTATCAAGTATCGATCAATTTCTCTCTGCATCCTTTCCTTTTTATCTGTATAATATATTTAACCGGAGAAACAGTATAAGATAGGGTAAAACAGCGAAAACAGAACACATTCTAAAATAAACTTACAAATCTTTTCAAAAACAATTTTATTCTAAAAATACAGATTGAGATCATTTGACGAACCAGTGCAATTCAAATGGGACTGATTAGTCACGATTTAAAGTACTACTGGTCTTATTAATTACATTTTCGTAACGA